TTTGATAATGATTGAATGGCTTTCTTAAATCACACAGAAACGTCCAATTATGAACCCTGAATCTGCTTTTATTTGTATAATGGATTTTCCTAGCTTTGATTTTCATACTTAGGTGATTTTAATATCAATAATAAAAAAAAGAATAGCTGCCAAAAGTAAAGAGCATTGTCAACGCTCACCTGGATCTATAATAGTAGTAAAGGTACATCAGTTTAGGTTTTCCGAGGTTAAAGGTTAAATAACTCAATAAAACAATAGGGCATCGTGGACAAGTAGTTTATGCGTCGGGTTAGTGATATCAGAGCTGTCAGCCGTGGGTTCAAACCATGCCAGGGACAAGCCGTTGTTTCCTTGAGCAAGAAACTTTATATCTATCTATCTCTGGATACTGCCAACCCCTCTTACGAGTGTTAAAGGCAGGAATTTAGTGCACGTCGGATTGTTAGTAAAAGGTGAAGAGAAAAGCTAAAAAGAAAAGTCCAAACATTGACATGCTTGGAAGGTGAGACTGAGAATGTATTCTAGTCATGGTTAAAATGTTAATAGTGAAACAAGATGATAAGAAATAAAATAGTTTAAAAACACTGGGAGTAAGACTTGTACTGCAAACCCACCACTGCCTGTTTGAACTGACTCAGGTTGGGCAGGGTGGCAATGTTACAAGGAAGTTTATTCCATAGTATAATGCTATGAGGGAAGAAAGAGTACTTATGGTAGTCGGAGGATACCTGTATTTGACGTAAGGATAAGGGATGCATATGTCTGGTTAATCTATGTGGGGTTTGAACATAAGTTGGGAGATTAATTGCAACTAGGTTATGGTATATCTTATAAAACATTATCAGTCTACAGTCCAATCTGCGATGTTCAAGGGATCGCCAACCCAGTTCTTCCTGCATGGCTGTGACACTAGAGTGAGGGGAGTAATCCCTTTTAACCCATCTTATTGCACGTCTCTGGATCATCTCAACTTTGTCAATATTGGTTTTAGTATAAGGAGACCAAATAGATGAGGCATATTCAACCTGTGGGCGGACCAGGGACTTGTATGCTAGTTCTTTTACTTTCTCATTTTTAGTGATGACATTTCTTTTAATAAAGCCAAGGGATCTGTTTGCATTGGAAGTTATTCGAGATATATGTGTATTAAATTTAAGGTCAGCAGATAGATCTAGTCCGAGATATTTAGCATTTGTAACAGACTCTAGGACTTGGCCATGGAGCATATATTTGTGTTCAATTATGGTCTTATTTTTGGTGATATGGATGACTTGGCATTTTGAAGGGTTAAACTCCATGTCCCACTGCTTCTCCCACAGAACCATATTGTCTAGATCATGTTGGAGAGTTGGGGGGTCTGAGGAGGAATTGATGGTTAGGTATACAGCAGTGTCGTCTGCAAATAATCTGACTTGGGATTTGAGGACAGAAGATGGTAACTTGTTGATACATAGAAGGAAACAGAGGGGCCCTAGGACCGAGCCTTGGGGCACTCCAGAGGTAACTGGGACTTCAGATGAGCAGTCACTATCCACAACTACAGTCTGTCTACGACCAATAAGGAATGACTGTATCCAGTTTAGAATTTGAGGACAAACACCATGTTCTTGCAGGGTATCTAAGAGTTTAAGATGGTTTACTTTATCGAAAGCTTTGGAGAAGTCAAGAAGTATGAGATCTGTTTGTTTGCCATTTGAAAGGTTGTTCATAAGGTAATCAGTAAGTTCAATGAGTTGTGTCTCACATGATCGTCTTTCTCTGAATCCATGCTGAAGATCAAAGAGTATGTTGTGGGTGGTAAAGTGAGAGGATAGTTGAGAGACAACTATATGTTCGAGTGTTTTACAGAGGATGCATGTAAGGGAAATTGGGCGATAGTTTGCTGGATCACTTGTATCACCTTTTTTGTAGACAGGGCATACGTTTGCACGGGTCCAGTCATTGGGAATATTACCGGTGGTCAGGGATTTTTGGAAAAGAACTGCAACGATGTCAGCAATCTCTTCTCTCAGCTCCTTCAGGACAATTGGTCTAATGTTGTCAGGGCCGGCAGCTTTGTTGGCATTGAGGTTGGCGAGGAGCTTTAGTACACCTGCCCTACCGATGATGATGTCATTCATTTGTGGGTACTGACAATACTTTCTGGGATTCATGAGTCTCAGTTTTTGTATACATTGATCTTTAAGTGTGAGTGGTATAATTGGTGAGAAAACTGATTGAAATTGTTTGTTAAGAATGTTTGCTTTTTCAGTGTTATTAATTTTGAGAGAACCTGACTTTTGATCTTTTAATGGAGACACACTTTGTGAATCTTGTTTAGAGTTTTTTATAAGTGAGTATAGTTTTTTGGTACAAACTTTACTTTGTGTATTAGTTTCATCATCATCATCTGCAAGGTTCTGGATGTTTTCTAAGTAAGATTCATATATTGTTTAATTCTAGCTTTTATTTGCGATTTCAAATTTTTAAATTTTAGCCATTGATCATGATCAGATTTATTTTTATTTGTTTTTGGTTTTTTTAATATTTTTATAGAGCTGATCTCTTTTATGAATTAATTTTTTAATGGATTTTGTTATCCAGGGCAAAGATGGTTTAGCTGTAATTCTTTTAGTGGGTATGAATTTTGATATGCCATCCTCAAGTGTGTGTTTGAACTGCGACCAAAGTTCTTCAACAGACAAAGATTCAGCTTTTTGAAGTATTTCAGATGAAAGTTTTCAACTCGGTCCAATTTGCCTTTTTATACAAGGTGCAAGTACGAGGCTTTTGTTTGAGGAGGGTGGGCCTAGAAGATATTTCTGTGGATATGATGTCATGATCTGATATGCCAGGTATGACCTTGACGTTGTTAACAAGAGTGTGGTTTGAAATGAGCAATAGATCAAGAATATTGTCATTTAGTGTACTTTCATTGACCATTTGTACGAGGTTATGATCATCAATGATGTTCAGGAATTTATCATACACAGGACTTGTGTTTAAGCCTTCTTTAAGATATGGTGTATGTTCAGAGTCCCAATTTAATTTTGGGAGGTTAAAATCGCCAAGGATTAACTTTGTACCTTTTAAGTTACGCACAAGTTCAAGGGATTTTTCAAATTCTAAAATACTATTCATATCAAGTTCGTGTGGTTTGTAATAAGATGCCAGAAAGAGTGACTTACTACCTTTGATTTCTATCCATATTATTTCACAATCGGTGTTCAGTTTTGGTTGTTCACTTGGTAGGAGGTTGTTTTTAACAAGGATAAACACTCCACCACCCTTACCTTTGAGTCTGTCACGGCGAAAAACTGTGTAGCCGAGTTCAGGTGGGAAAATTTCACTGTTATAGTTTTCTTTATTTAGCCATGACTCTGTGGCTGTAACAATATCTGGGTTTTGATCTATTAATAAATTTTGAAATTCATGTTTTTTGTTGACTATTGACTGGCAGTTTATGCATAGAATTTTCAGTTTGGATACATAATCAATTTGTTTTTGTTTTGGATTTTTGGGATTTATAGAGCTAGGTGTATCTGTATTTTCATCTACTAGAGGTGAGAAGCTGTTATGTGATGAGATTGAGAGGATGCTTGAAATATTCGAAAGATTTGATTCATCACATATTGTACATGTCCATGCAAAGGATGTATTGCTATTGGTTAGATCTTGGTACCATGTGCTATTCAACCCTTGACATTGTATGTGGAACCACATACAGCAATTATCACATTCAACAGCATGGTCAGAATCTTTGACCTCAGACCCACAGCTTCCACAAGGATAATCCGGGCCAGGGTTCCGTTCAACATCGCATGAAATAGACAGCAGTAGTATGACTAGATGTGATAAAGTCTTACTTCTATGAATTTTGGTGGGAATTTGGTGGCGTCTAAACCTAAATTTCAGGTTGCCTACAATAAGTCCACATGAGGAGATTTTTGACGGTGACATTGCGTTTGGCAGGATGGAGGGCCTAGGATGTAGGGTAATGTTGGTTCTGATGAAATTATCTGGTACATTCACCATATAAAGTAATGTCGAGATAAAAAGAAGGGATATAAAAATACCTACAAACATATTGTTTACCTTTTTCTCCCACCGGAAGTTGGACAATAAAAGGTCAAGGTTGGTCTGGCGGGAAAATTTTTTGACAGAATAGATACCTGTAACTATACTTTGGGTGTTAATTTAACAATGGATGAATGAAACTTTCATTAGATTTCTTCATTCAACGTTCTGAACAGCAGCAGAAGTGCAGTAACAGTCCGAAACACAGTGTTTACAGAGTTTTTTATGAGAGCTACGGAAATCAGCTGTTAGCAATCCGACGCATGCGCATATTATATTCAGTCTTTATATTTTAGGCAGATATATATTTTATCCAAAACTTTTTCTTATATCAACTGTTGGTCAATCACCGTTATTATTGCCAATCTTTTGAAATTTATAGTCAATAATGCTCAACTTAAACATTGAAAAAAATAAGCCTAATGTCACTTTGATAATGCTAGGGTATATAGGCATGTTATTGTACAACCTCTGTAAAGAAACACCCCTGTGGCTTTTGATGACAGGTTTTTGTTCTAGACAGGTAAAATACATTATTAAGTCTTATTTTCTGAAAAAATATTGATACTGATGGTGTAAAAGGTTAATGCTCCACAAGGGGCTGCTTTGTTGAAGTTGCACTGTACTAGCAATAGATTTATAACATAGTTATTGCCCTTTGAACGTTTCTGACCGCACGTATACGGGTTCTATACAGTATATTACCAAATTTAAAACCCGAATGCCTATTAAATAATCAACATTGTTCATATGCTTATTAGTATTTGTTGAGCGGTGCCGAATGTTTGTTAAACACATTTCATCTGTGTACATAATACAATGCATTATACTTGGGGACATTTTACTCCACAAAAATCGATGACAGTCGGGCTAATCATTTAATCTCCTATTTAAATAACATGTATTGAAATTCGAGCGCGTTATCTGAAAGGCTTTGTTGTGACTTGATCAATATTTGATTATAAAGATAAAGGAAAACACGTGAAAACTGCGAACGTGTTATAAATGCACTGAATTATATCATACAAGAGGGGTTTGTTTTTAAGTGTTCCGTGTTAAAATCGCTATGGATACATTATTTATTCTGAGACCGGAAATTTGAATTTTAGGACGGTAAGAAAACTTTCATATCATTTGAGAAGTTTTGTTTTGATTCTGTCGGTGTTAAAGTGTATGTAAATGAGGGACTGGGTAGGTTTTCATGCTAGGATATTTATTAAATTTCCTCATATAATTGGGAAAATATTAATGAAAATGTTTCAAACAAGAATTTCATTATATATCTGATACAATATATTTCTCAGTTGACAGTATATGTAAGATTCTTAAACTTACACTCTTTTTTTTCAGACTAAAATTACTTATTCTGAAAGTTATCCGACCAATTTGCAATAGTTACATTCTTTTAAACACACTTGGTTTAAATCTTAAAGATTTCCATGTAAATTCAAACTATTCTAGTACTCTTTATACAAATTAAAGGGACTCCACTGAGGTTGCTTGGCATGAAGAGATGAAAAATATATTTGGCAAGATTTTTGTATAACTGGATGAAGGGATGGACCAATAGATCGTGTACAAATTTTCATCTCATTCGCTCACTTCCCTTCCCGGGGATAATCAAATTGCGCAAATTGACCCAAAATTGAAAAGCGTTGCAACACTTTTCACACAAATCGGCCAAAAATCGCATAAAAGCAATAATCAATTTAATACCGAGAAAATTTTCATATTGTCTGTTGCATTGATTTCCGTTGATTTATGAAAGAAATGTTTTGGGCTAATATACCTCAGTGGAGTTCCTTAACTGATTATGTATTGTTTTATTCTATATCTTTAATGTTTTATTTATAGCGATTTTGAACATACTTAATCTCTTTTTTGTTGTTTTACTATGTTCGTTCATTCGTTCGTTCGCAACATCATTTGTTTCTTCTCTAGAAATGGGAAGAATCAAGCACATCAAGACGGTGTCGGCGTCGTTGAAAGCTGTCAACGAAATTCTCGTGAAAGAAAAACCGGTGATTGGAGTGAAGTGTCTTGGATGCAATGTTGGCGAACATGGTAAGATGCGTTATACCCCCTTCAGATATATAACGTACAGAAGTTTACCCCAAGCCCCAGCACCAAACATGATGTCCCCTTGCATGGTAGTTTTGAATTCAAAATAATATGATCTTTTATTAAAAATGCAAATTTACAGCAGAAAAGTGTTATACATCCGTTTTTTTGTTTTTTGTTTTTTTCCAAAGCTTTTTTTACATAAAAGCTGATTATTACGAAAAGGGAAATCACTCTTCTTAAGACGTACGTTCGTAGTTACATAATTGTGTCCCTTCAAACAGCAATGTATTGAAGCCAAACTCTTTTCATTGTACTGGACAACACTATTTCAATTATTTCCACTTACTGAATCTAACATTTTTAAGGAGGGGAGATAACTCTTGTAGCAGTCAGCTGTTGGGATGGACAAGTTTATGTGTATGATTTGAGGACATGTAAAGCTATCATGTTTGACGGAGGGTTACTGCGCTTGTTTCAGTCCGCCGAATTGCTCAAGGTAAGTGAAAGCTAAATGCCGCCAGCTACGTGGCTTTGAAAGAGGATTTGTTGTTTTTACTGCAGATACGTTGTACACAGTTTTCTTTTGAGATTTGTTAACATGACAATTCCTTACTTTAATTTGTTTATTCTTAGTAATGTTAATATTGTTGGCATTGAACAGTAAGTTCCCATGTGATTTTTGTTTGGATTACCTGCCCTTGTTACTACGTTATCGCAGAATTGTAGGCATGGAACAAGACTTATGTGGGTAGTGCTTAGTGAGTAAAATGAATACTGTGAGTTAAACGTTTTACTTTATTTATTTATTTATTTATTTATTTATTTATTTATTTATTTATTTATTTATTTGTTTATTTATTTATCAATAGGTATTTCATGACTGTGCCCCTGACAGTGCGACACTGACAAAACAGTTCAGTTTGAAGTTGAGAAATTTCTTTGATACCAGAGTAAGTATTTAAATCATGTTTGAAATTGAGTACGTATGTCGACCTGTAGCAGGCAAACTTTGCAGTGCTAATACACTAATTCACTATCAGACGACAGAGGATCGAACCTCGTTCCCAAAGAACGGTGTCATGACAATGATTTAATAAAGCATATCTGACATTCTTTACTCTGTTTTACAAGTAAACAGTTCATTAACTTATTGTTAAAAAAGAAAACAACCACTATATGAGTTGTGGTATTTTTTATAATTTAATTTATGTATGATATGTGTTTATACTGTATTTTAAATTAATTTCCTTAAATGAAGATCGAACTGAGTATACGTGCTTGATAGTTGTTTGTTCTAAATCAATAAGAATTTATAAACAGAACAGAGTAATCAAACAGGTTCTATCACTCCCCGTGAAAACTGGCCAAAGAATTTCTTTCAAAGAAAAGAGCAATTAAACCGGGCTTAAATTGCATGTACTTTTCAAGATAGGAGTAACCAAAAAAAGGTCAAAGTAAGGTCAAAGAAAGACACTTGGCACGACCTTTATTTAACAAATTACCGTTATACGTACCTACGTCTGTGTTTGATAATAGTTCTATCATGAAAACGAAGGTTCTTCTTCTGGATCGTAAAATAAAAGTACATTGTATATTTTACGGTATTCCAGGTAGCATATTCTATTGTGATGGAGCGTAGCGGATTAAGCCCTCGACTCGTTTCTTTTATAAAACTTTGCGAAGTTTACAAGCAACCTTTACACCAACCTTCGTATGATTTTCAGGTAAAAATCGAAAATTATTCTTCATTTCATTTTCTATTCTTGTGCAATAAGTGTATGTTTCTAAGATAATGAAACAAATGTTATTTTTACATTTTTCTAGTCCTTTCAAACCTAGTCTCCAATTTTCAAATGTTTTTGAATAGCAAATAGCAGTAATAAAAAAAGAAGATAAAATAGATATCTTACAAAAAGAGCCAAAAAGAGCTATAAATTGAAAATGTTGAAGACTTAGTTCGACTTACCATTTTTTATGGGCGGCAATGACACATGAGTAAAGAGCAAGTTGCCATCCACCCTCCCCACCTCCAGCAACGATTTAAGAGCATAATGCAATATATATATACATAAAAACGTTGACATTTTGAATTAGAAACTTTCAAAATAACACTGTCAAAATATTCAATTGAAAAGCGGCGCACGGCCGCTTGGTAGATGAATGTGTCCTAAACGAGAAAACAATGGACAGAACTAGATAAAAGGTACTTTTGAAAGGGGATTTCATAATATGAATATCATGTAATTATGTATAAATACTACATTTTTTAGCTTTATGTATGATTTCAGAGGTTATTAATAGAGGATCCAAATGTATGGGCACGCCGACCTTGCACGGGAGACATGTTAAGTGTTGCCGCCTCTTATGTTAAGCCTTTAGTACCGACTCTTTTCACAGAACTTGACGTGTATGTATCCTTTAACAACTCTTATTTATCATTAAGCTTACTGCTTGAATGTATATAGCGGTTGCTTAGTTAATGTAGAAATTCACCGACAAATGACAAAGGCATATAAGAATCTAACACTAACTGCTGATACAGACCGAGGGAAACTGTTTCGGGCTTTAACGAGGCTATGCTGAAATTACACCACAATTACAGACGGTTGGATAAACATTACGTGCGCCTACGAAAAGTACGCCTACGAAAAGTACGTCAACAACTTAGTAGACAAAGACATTAGCGAGAAAAAAATCAAGCGTTTTAAAAAGCTACAGCCTGTCCACCGCCCCTTCTTTTGGCTATTTAAAGCGTTGAAGATTTTTCTCACTGGCGTCTAACTATAACTTTGCGCATATTCTTCATTCATGGCGAAAGAATGACGACATGAGAGTCTAAGGTGACATGTTCCAGCGCAGTTGCATACATAAGAAATTCAAATCCAGTTTTTAGAATATGAAAAAGCATGGTATTACCGGTAAAGGAATACAACAGAAGAACTTTTGTGTGTCGTTCATAATACAAATCAGGATGACGGCCGTTTATGACCTTGCTCAAAGGCTCCAGCCCGCCTGCGTGAAAGGTATTGAACCAAACGAATCAACACTATTAAGAAATCCAACAGTTCAAAATTAATAACCTTGAAGTTCATTATTGAGCAACGTATTCCATTATCAAAAATCTTTTTATACCCCTTACAAAGTTTAATGGGTATATCGGAGTGCGATTGACGGTTATTCGGTCGGAACGTCCGTCAGTCGGATGGTTTTCGGGTGAAAATAGAGTTTGGAATAAGATATTGTAATTAAATTTGATATATACATGTAAAACAAGCTTATGTAGAGACCTCGCTTGGTCAAGGTCACTGTAACGTAAAATAGAACGACCTCGCTTGGTCAAGGTCACAGTTACGTAAAATAAAACATGTTTTACGGACGATAACTGTAGTTAGGATTGTGGTATTTTTATCAAACTTGGTACATTTATTCTTTAGGCTTATTTGGAAACCTTGCTTGGTATTGTTTTGACCCCATAGAGTCAAGGTTGCTTATGCTTAAAATTGGAAACGATTTCCAAACTAGATTTACTGTAAGAATAAATATTGTTATCAAACTTGTGTTATAACAAGCTTATGCAAAAACTGCACTTGGGAATGCTTTCGAAACCATAGTGTCAATGTCAAGGCTACTGTTTCTAAAAATAGGTAAATATTTTCTGAACAATAACTTAACTTTTTGGGAAACTTAGGTTCTAAGTCAAGATCACTGTTACTAAAAACAGAAAAAAAAATGTTTTCCGAAATGTATCTAGAATAATGAATAAAATAATGTTATTAAAATTAGTATTTGGCAAGTTATGTGAAGACCTGGCTTTGGATTGCTTTTGAACACCATATTGCTTTTGAACCTCATAGGGTCAAGGTTACTGTTACTTAAAATCAAAGAAGGGTCTCTGATTGATTTATAAATTTAGAAATAAGATATCGTAATCAGACAAAGTATGTTGAAAGTTTATGCTAAACACTCACTTTGGATTGCTTTTTTTGGCACCTATTTGGCAAGTGGTAGCTCTGGTTTAAAAAGAAAGAAAATATTTAAACAATAGAAATCCATATTGCATATTTGTAACATAACTTTAACGATGTGCCTTAACAAATACAGGAAAGAAATGTTTTCTCGTACTATACATGTACTTAAATTCTTTTTCGCTTTTTCTATTAGAATGCTTCCACCTGACACGGATGAGTGGTTTTTACATCAATGTGAAGAAACGCGTAATTCGATGTTGAGACCCGGATCGCTAAAAAGTGGACAGAAAATCAAGTGCAGCAAAGACCATACGAGTGGTGTTAAAAATCTGTTTGGAACTCATTTTTGTATTTGTCCGAGTTGTGTAAGCAATATGGGCACGTCTCAGACGTACAGAGAAACATGTGTCGAAAGTGACTGACTTCAAACTCTGACTGCATTAGAAGATGACAGTGTCATTTAAAGTGTCGAAAAACTTGTTCATGAATTGTAGCGAGGCAATGAACATGTAAATGTAAAGAACTAAAGGACCGGGAATTTCGAAATAATATTTTCTTGTATATTATGTTAGATACTGCCATTTTAAGTTTCACAAAATATTTTACATTTAGGTACATTTATCATTTGAGTATGATAAGAGACAAACAAGATTTGTTTGTAAAATTTGTTTGCATTTTTGTTCATTTACAACACGATTTGTTCTTTTAAATGTCATATGCAGTGTACTTATATAGTACATTGAATTGGATAAATTTCTTTTGCATGTCCATCTTGACAGAACCATATTAACGCTATCTAATTTATAAATAACTTACAGACAAGGTTATATATGTAATGGTGTCTTGGAGTTTTGGCGTTTTTTGTCACTTAACGTGATTTGTATTGATCAAGCAACGCCATTAAACAAATAACGCATGCATACGTCAAATCTGCGGAAGATAACGATGTTTGTCGAATGATTTTAAGATATACTTAAATCAACGATTTCAATGTTATTTACGTCTGCTGTATTAGTTTGTCCGACAAACTTGGCAATCAGTAGATTAATATTAAATGTGTACATTTGCTAGTTCGTTATCGGTGTTTCCAAAATCCTAAAGGAGCTCCACTGAGGCCCAAAAGCCTGAAACACAAATTTTGAACTTGCATTGATCATCTTGTTCACTTAAAGTAGAAAAATATACTAGAAATTATAGAAAATTATAGTATTACACATAATTATTTGTGCGCGATTAAAAGACCAATTTGAGTTAAAAGTGTTGCAATGTTTTTCAATGTTGGATCATTTTGTGCTGTAAAGATTAATATTTAGAATAATCTGAAATTGAGTACGCAAGTTATTGTTCTAAACCTTCATCAAATGGTATAAAAAGCTCGAAAATTATTTCCAGTCCCTTCATGTCAAAATACCTCAGTGGAGTTCCTGATATATTTTATTTTTGTTTGTATAAGTGTCTCATCTTAAGCAGGGTAGTCCAAAGAATATTGTTTTGTTAATTAATTTGTTACCTTATTTTCATTCATTATATTAAAATAACACACGACCTTGTATTGTTGTAGTCTTTACTGTTTATAATTACTGAAACAACTTTTTCTTTGCTTCTGTAAAAGAAATCTCGCTCGAATGACAGTGTATTTGAAAATTGCTCACTTGGATTGATTTATTCAATCAATCTTATATAACATCTGTTACGGACCGGTTTTAAATTTCATATTTTTTATCAATCAAACATATATTATATATGTATATATATACGCAATTTAATTACAATCAAATATAAAAAAAATGATTTTATTGACAGTAAAAAAATCAAACGCTAAATAATTGATATTAATAAGACCAATGAACAAAAAATGTAAAACAATCTGTTACACGTTCCCAGGGAATCAAACCCCATTTGGTTTAAATCAAGGTCAGATGATTGCCGTTTGACTGGCGTAACTAGTAGCTGCGCCAGTGTGAATTGCAAAGTCAGTGGGTGATTCGAACCTTCGATATTAAATCGAGGACTCTCATGTTCAATAACTGAATTGTTCTTCTTCTGCTCATGAATTGTTTCTTTGTGTTGTTTTATCAATTCGTACATAACAAGTAATTATTTCCCTTTTGGTCAGATCAAATATTTTTTTCAGTGTGAATTGTGAAGTCAAGGAAGGATTCGAACCTTCGATATCCAATCAAACACTTTCATGTTCTATCCCTATATTGTTCTTCTTCTGCTCATGAATTGTTTCTTTATGTTATAATCTAACTTTCTTTTGACCAGGGCAATTATTTTGCTCTCGAAAACACACAGTGAGAATTTTCATCTGCTACATAATGAATATATTCAAACAGATACACACAAAGTCTATAACTGTTTTATTTGCATCAGAAAGAAATAAGACAAATGCAACAAAATTGCTTCCAATAGAAAATTTATTAGTTCTGAAAATCACTTAATCAGTGTACATATTTTCAATCCTATATCTAATTTAACATTACCTTAAGAAACCATTACCTTCCTAGCTTTAATCTGCACCAGTAATGAAACAAGCCAGCCTGTGCACCACGGCAAACTGTAAATGCTCATACGGGGCTAGAATTTTGCATATGTTTTTCCCAGCATCATTATTCTACAAGCGAATTGATAATAAACTCGCAAAATGAGATATTCAAGTGACATTATACCCATCCAAGGGAATATAGTGTGTAAACGGGTGGTGATCAAAATAAGTTTTTATTTTATCATTATTCCCTTTAATTTTATAATTAAGTTCACATAAACAATAAATAACTCATATATCCATATGAAATTTCTGTAAATATCCATTAGAATTTATCTATAACGCTTAGTTTATAAAAAGATTGGGGTAGTCTTTTTATTTTCTTGGCAGATTTATTATTTACCCTGTACATTTTCCAGTATCAACTGTTGGTCAAACACCATTTTGATAGTCAATCTTTTGAAATATAAAGTCAATTCAGCTCCACTTGACTATGAAAATATGAGCAAAATGTCACTTTAATTCGACGAATTGAATTTACAGGTTTCGAATTTTCTAAAACATTGTTTATTAACTTGTTTGCAAAACGTGTACAAAGTTTGCAATATCGTCATTACAATTAGTGCGAATTTGTTTTATAAAAAAACTTACGATTTTGTCAGGCATCTGTGATGTGGTTTTTTCTCAACCGTCATGTAAGCAGACTTTGTTTCAAAAGTTTCTTTCAAAAGTCTTTGAGATATATTTGTAAGAGATAGAAACACTGCTTCATTTGCGGGACAGGCCGTTCCGAAACATATTCATCATAGTTCATCTAATAAGTACCCTTTCGCTGACTGACTTTAGATTTTCATCTTTTTCTCACTTTTTGATTAAGGATTGTTTAAAAAAAGAAGCTGGAAATCCATTAAAGAAATTCAGATCTTGGTTACATTTGAAAAGCGCCTTTGTGTATGTTTTTATTTTCTTAAATACAGTAAATACAGCAAAAAACAACGCGACTTCAGTTTTCACATTATTTAGTGATGTTTCTAACTAGTTCTTTTATTTTTGAGCATGTACTTATATTGGAACCTGGAATTTCTTTAATAACCTGCGGAAACAAATCTGCGCTTAACGTTGTTACTCTGTCTGCAAACGCCAAAAGTTCAGAAACTGAAAGTTTTTTGGTGAGTTTAGAATCTGAACTGTGTTTGAATTCATTTTCACACTGCCCATCACAGGTACACATCCGGTTAAATTTTCTGATGATTTTCTCTTCTGTGTCAAAAAGCTTTACATTTGAATTGCATTTCCACACTGGCGCTCCGTCATCATAATTTGACTTTGTTTTCAAAGTCATTTTCCCGGTCATTCTTGACTTGTACTCAGCGTTTGGTCCTGTATCTTTTGTCGATAATGATTTCATAACTGCATTTTCTACATTTGAAAATGTATTGTCCTCACTTGCAGTCTTAATAGTCCCCTTTGATGCAATTGTGTGATTTTTTTGTTCTATTTCTTCTATTTCACCATGTACGTTCTGCAATTGATTACTAGTACTCTCATTCAGAGATGAATTTCTCCTAAAACAGAGCAATCTTCCCTTAATCGTCCCCTTTGATGCAACGTTGAGATTTTCTTCTTCTATTTCTTCTATTGTACCAAGTACATTCTGAAATTGCATATCCTTACCCAGAGATGAAGTTTTCCTAATACAGCACAATCGTTTAACATGAAGCTCGGATAACATTTCACTGGAATATTTCTCCACAATGGACATCATTGCCTGGTATTTAAGTAAAACTTAAGAAAGAACTCTTCTCTTAATAAATGATTTATTTTACTCTTTAAGATGCTTTTCTTCTTCTTCACTCTCTTATTCGTGTAAATTAACTGAGTTGACGTTTTCCTCTATTGAAAGTGTAATTGTTTTCATGAAGTGTTCTCACATTCACATATAAGAACAATATTTTAGATGTACTTGAAGGCAATCTATTTGTAGTAAAATTGCGTCCCTTAAAGTTCAAAAAGTGCGCAAAGATTGTAGCAATGACGTATACAGTTTTACGTATAACAGGTCAATTTACAGGTTAATTTCATTTCTTACGCACACAGTGATATATTTGTTCAGGTTTTTCTCTTTTTCTTGATTGTCATTGTCTGGTCAGAGACCTTTGATTTCTTCTTCTTCCTCTTCTTCTTTTTCTTCTTTATATATCCGACGTATGGTCTCATACGGTGACAATGCAAATGCATAAAGGCATTGTAACAAAACAATTATCTAAAACGCAAACTTCCATGATATTGAATTAATATGTAAACAAGGTATCAGTATCTTATCTGTACCAGACATTTTAACTCCTTCATCATAATGTAAAAGTAATGGCTGCATCTGGTTAAAACAGTATGTTAAGTAATTCAGCCAATTTTATGGACAAAAGAAAATAAAGTTAAAGAATGACAGAAATCATTGGAGCTATATCATCTCTTTTGCAATAATATTGGCCAATGGGCATTGTGTTGTTTTTTGTTGTTTTATAATTATTATTTATTTTTCACAGACTCACAAATTGACAAAAAATACCATTTAACTATGTGAATCATTGGTCAACTAATAAGTTGTTTGCCAATAACGTCAGATATGTAAGTAATCACATACATCATATAGTTAGTCATTGTTGACAAGTCGTTTTTTAATCATATGAGTCAATAACTGTGACTTGACAATCTGAGCTCGTTTGAAAATCGATTTGAAACTCATTTTTGTATTTGTCCGAGTTGTGTAAGCAATATAGGCACAACTCAGAGAATCTTGCCTCAAAAGTGAATGACTCTAAACACTGACTGCATATGCAGACGACAGTGTCAAAATATTTGTTCATTAACTACGGAGATTCAATGAACATGTAAATGTCAAGAACTAAAGGAGGGTGAATTGGGAAATAACATGTTCATAAATGGCAGTTTAGTTTCACAAAATGTTTTACATTTAAGTACATTTATCATTTGAGTATGATAAGTGGTCAGCACGATTAGTTTGTCTATTTGTTTGTCAAACTTGTTTCCATATTTGTTCATTTACAATGTACATGTACTTAAAATTTGATATTCTTGCATTGGTCAAGTGGGCCATTTATAGTTGGAAAATATACTAGAATAGAAAATTATACATATTTATAATCATAATTATTTGAAAATATTTTTTTGCGCGATTCAAATCCCAAATTGAGTAAAAAAAACTTTGTAACGCTTTTCAATTTTGATTGATTTTGCGCTATAAAAATGATTATTCAGAAAAAATTGAGTGACCCAAATATCTCTTAATGGGCACGTAAGAGATTGGTCTAGACATTCATCATATGCCGAAAATGTTTTCCAGTCCCTTTATGTCAAAAATCCTCAGTGGAGTCCCTTTAGTGTTTTTTTTTGTTAGTTAGTTAGTTACTTAGTTAGATTGTGTGTTTATTTGTTTATACACGTGTCTCATCTTAGCAGGGTAGTTCCAAGCCGCATTTTGAATGTTTACACATCTGTCAACAGTTATTTATTGTCTGTAATAATCCTTTAATAAAAATCTTGAAACAAAGTGATCCCTCGGAAGCATAAATTACAACAAAATTACAAGATAATTGCAGACTAGGTTTGATTGAGTCTGTACATGAGGGATAATGAATATTTGCAACATCCCTCACGCCCCTAGCACCGGCTTGAGCGGTACTCAATTCTCAACACTTAATAGTGCTGACATCAATGATCCCGAAGGACCAGTTTGTTCAGTCATTTTGAGGGTAAATCATTAGAAACAGAAAATATTGTGGCACAAATGTCAGATGAACTAGTGAATAAAATAAAGAAAATAAGAATCTCTAAAGAAAGCCAAAACGGCATAATTGAAAATGTAGCAGGCTCGGTTTGATTTAGCCTTTTCATGGACGGTACTGTTAAGTGCAAACTATAGTTTTCTTTATTATAAAAGGATGTATGACTAACAAATCCAAATGATATCCCTCTGAATCAAACACAATTATTTTCCTCCCGTGAAATAAAAAATTTTAACCCTTTCCCTTAT